ACTCCTGGTAAAATGGAGAGGGTCACATGGCTGGAGTATGAATGGAATATGAAGGGCTGGTATGCTAGACATGAGAGCACAGTGGGCTGAGATGGCCCCCAGATGGGGCCAGGTCTCTGCTACTGTTTCCCCATATATGCTGTACACGTATGTACAGCAAAACCCAGCCCGTCAACCCTGCCTGTACTGTCTCATTTCTCCCCTGCAAATAAAGAACACACAGCCTATGATCCCCTCAAAGCTCCACCTGGCCCACTGTGAGCACTGGGGGCAGGGCCCACATCTGCCTTGTTCCCAACGCGTTCCCAGCATGTGACACACTGCTAGGCACACTGTCCGCATTTACTAAAGGTAATGAATAGGCGAAGATGGATGGTCCATTACTCTTAAGCTCTTAATACACACTGAGGATGTCCTAAGCCCAGCTCTGGGCAGGAGCCAGGTTTCCCTATAAGAAACCTGCATGGGCTTTATTCTGCATGGGCTTTGTTCTGCATTGAGTCTCTGTGGGAAGAACAAGAGCTTGAATCTTAATTTTGAGTCTGAATTTCGGCCTTTCCCATTTTGCCAGTGTGCATAAAACCCATCAAACTAGGCTGGGCCTGGTGGCACACACATGTAAGCACTCGGGAGGATGGGGCAGGAAGATTGCTGTGAGTTCAAGGCCAGCCTGAAGTGCATAGTGAGACTGTCTTTAAAACAAAACCAAAACTAAAAAGCCCATTAAGCTTCTTTCCAGTCTCAGCTCTTTTTGTGCATTAGAAGCAGTGGATACTGGATTAGACTCTTCTTCCACAGTGCCCTTCTATTCTGAGGCTGGAGAGTTAATATGCAGCTGTCCCTTGGCACCTATAGGTTTCTCATCCATGGATTCAACCAACCACAGATCAAAAATATTTGGGAAAAAACTGCACCTATATGGAAGTGTAGTTTTTCCCCTTGTTATTACCCCCTAAACAATATAACAATCATTTACATAAAATTCACGTTGTATTAGGTAGTATCAGTAATCTAGAGATGACTCAAAGTATATGGGAGGCTGAGGCAGGAGGATCACTATGAGTTCAAGGACAAGCTGGGCTACATATCAAGTTGAAGGCCAACCTGAACTACATAGTGAGATCCTGTCTCACAAAAAAAAAAAAAAAAAAGGAGGACCACGGATACAGTGGCAAAGTGCCTGCCTGGCAAGAGCAAGGTCCTGAGTTCAATTCCTGGTACAAAGATAAAGAAAAACAAACAAAAACCCCCAAAGTATACAGGAAGCCAGGTATAGTGGTACACACTTGTAATGCCAGCCCTTGGGAGGGTCACCCCAAGTTTGAGGTCAGTGTGGACTATGTAGTGAACTCAAGGCTACCCTGAACTACACAGTCAGACCCTGTTTTCAAAACAAAACAAGTATATGGAGGACATTGGGACATTGGTAGGTTACATGCAAATACTGTTCTATTTTATTTATTTATTTTTACCAGTACCAGGGATCAAACTCGTGACCACATGCTTGCAAGGCAGGCACTTATGCCGCTGAGCTAAATCCCTAGCCCCTACTGCTAGGACTTGAGCATCTTTGGATTTTGGTATCTGGGGGATCCTGGAGCCAACAAGTATAGGGAACTTTCCGATTCCCTTGCAGCCCAACAAGTCAGATGATAACAGTTACAGCCAATATTAGAAAGGTGATGCCAGTTCCTGTCTTTGCTTTTGAGTTCAAAAACAAAACCTTGTTGCCCAGCTTGGTGGCACAGGCCTGTAATTACTTGGGATACAGAGGCAGGAGGATCACAAGTTCAAGGCCAGCCTGAACTACATAGTGAGACCCTGTCTCCAAAGAAAACAGAAAAAAAAAAAAAAGAGGTGCATTATATATACATATCAGTTCCCCACAAAGAATGTAATCATTACATACTGCAAATATGTACTAATAGAAAATTTTTTTAAAAAGACAAAATCTTGTTGAAACAATGCTTTTGTTGTTGGTGTAGCTCAGCACAGGGCGTGTGCTTCATATGTGCTGGGCCCTGAGTTTGCTCCCTGGCATCCGTTTCCCAACAAAGGGTGCTATTTGCCCTTCCCTCTGCTGTTTGGAATTTTAACAGCCATGTGGCAACCTTGACACTGTAAGGTTAGAGACAAAGGTCTACAGTGCTAATGATTCTGGAGCCACAAGGTAAGAAGAGGCCTGCATCCAAAGGCATTTTTTTAGCTGCTGTTCCAATCTTGGAATTCCTGGGATTGAAATAAATAACCTGCTCTATGTAAATCTCTTGCCAAATGCAATCCTAATTGGTACAGTGGCCATCTCTGCCTGGACAGCATCCCCTGCCTTTTTTCTTTTTCTGGTACTGGCGATGGAATCTAGGGGTACTGCACCACAGATCTGCATCCTCAAGCCCCCTCCCCACTTTTTTAAAGACATAGTTTTGTTACACAGTCCACATAACATGAGTTATACTAATGGACATCATCCTGCCTCGCCCGGCGTCTCCCAATGCTGGCACTACAGGTATTAGCCACTGTCCCTGGTGCATCATTTGCCTTCTTGGGATACTGTCATTGTGGTTTTATACAACTACCCATCCCTCGCTTTCATCTGTGGCTTAGGTGGAGCCATTTCACCCCAGGTCCAGAGGTGAGTGTAACTCAAGGCTGCTAAAGCAGAGTCACCTAGTTCAGATCAGACAGTTAGGTGACAACCCAAGTCAGGCCAGGTGCAACAGCACATTGAATTCAGACACACCAGCTGGAACAGAGGTGCTCTCTGATTTGTGGTACAGGGATGAGGAGATGGAACTGTGGAGGAACTGAGGTCCTAGCTTCATCATTTTCCAGGAAATGAAGCCAAGATGGGTGAAAACAGGCAAGCGACAGTCCCAATGACCATCGTATCCAGTTATTAGAGTTGATATATTTTTGAAGCGAGAACCCTGGGTGTGATGCTCGTCTTCCTGACTGGTCACCCACCCACCAGCCCCACTCACGCCTGTGATCGTCTTCTTGCACTTGGCACAGCTGGGTGCATAGCGCACATCATAGCAGGGTGGGCAGAAGACAGCCCCCTTCTCCTCAAAGAAGCCGCCCTCTTCCAGGATCTTTCCACACTGGCTGCACACAAACTCCTCTGGGTGGTACGCGTGGCCCAGTGCCACCAGGTATCGGCCCCTGAGGGAGGGAGAGGAGGGAATATATGCAAATAAGGCAGGAGTTCTAAGATGGGCTTAGGAAGGAACAAGCCCAGGGTCACACAGAAGAGTGATGAAGCTTAAAGAGAGCCAGCTTTTTCACACTGCACTGCTTCGATGACAGGCCAGAGTTTCAGAGTCAGGAGAACAGAATAGGAGCTGATGGCTTGAGCCTAATGAGACACCCCCAAGGGACTGTGCCCCAGGACAAAGGAGGCCAGAATGCTGAATGCCAGAACAGATCCTGTCCTGTCCATCTGGCCTGGGGCAGGACCTGCAGCTCTGACAGATGCAGAAGGGCTGGGAAGGGACAGGCCCTTCTTTGTCCAGAATGCAGTGAGTCTAGCAATGCAGCTTCTGGGTGAGGTTGAAATGGCACCTTCCTCCATTTCACTCCACTGCATCAAACTTTGCTAGAGCTTGGTGTGGATGGGGCACTGGGGAGAGGTACACAGAGTGGGACTAAGAATCTGAAGAGCCAGGCCAGGTCCCTACCCAACTCCAGCTGGAAACCAAACCCTCCCTCACTCCCGGCAGTAGCAGCTAAGGTAAGATAGGTAGGGAGGGCAGAAAAGGCCAGGGCAGGGAGGAGGAAAAGGCCACCCACCGGATGACCTTGTGGCACTGGTGGCACACGGGAGTCTTGCCATTGTTGGCTCCTCCGGCGCCCCCTCCGGCAGCGGCCTGCACGATGGAGGTGCGGTTCTGCAGAGGTGTGGGTGTGGCTGGCTGGCTGTGCCGGGTCAGCACCGTGCTTGTTTTGTCCGGGGCATAGCGCTCAGCAAATGCAGGGTCCACAGCCCAGGGTGGGCGGCTGGTGGGGCTGGGGGTGGTGGGGCCTGCCAGGGCCGAGGAAATGGCTCCAGTGGGGGTGCCCAGGAACCCCAAAGGATGGAGGGTAGAACCTTGGGGCCATTTAGAGGGACCCGAAACCCCCATATCCCTAATGACACCCCACTCCTCCCCAGGTGAAGTCCATTCTCTCACCAGGCCAGGGTTCCTGGGGTGTCGCTGAGGCTGGGGCTGGGGCTTCTGTCCTGGGCACCTGGCTGCAAGATCTGCCATTCAAGGCTCTGCATGGCTGAGGCTCCTAGCATGCCCCACTACCCCCAACTTTAGTCCTGCTGGCCCCATGGGAGATCTCTGGGTGCATGAGTTACTGGGCTGAACTCTGGGTCTCTCTGGGGTAGACATGGGAGGGGCTGCTTCTCACAGCTAGGTTCCAGGTATCTGGTCTGTGGTTTAGGCCTAGAAGATGGGACAGGGCTCCTACTCCTGAGATAACTCTTGGGGCTCTTCTCCCACAGAGCCACTGTGGTAAGGTGAACCCTCCCACTAAGACAGACACAGGCAGGGCCCACACTGACACTGAACTATCAAACACGCCCATACCCAAAATGCAAACCAGGCCAACAAAGACAGAAAACAGAGGCAGAAAAAGCAGGTTGAGAATGTTTATTTCCATGCCAGAGATAGCACAGCCCTGGCACACAGCAGTACCGCAGGGCAAGGAGGGAAGGCAGTGTCAGACAAAGCCAGGACCTGTACCAGGTGGGCTGCTAGGGTCGGTCCAGCAGGAGGCTCAGGCTAGGGGCAGAAAAAGGGTAGGTGAGGTAGGCAGAAGCTAGAGTGCCCTGGGCAGGAGGAACAGAGAGAGAGAGAGAGAGAGGGAGGGAGGGACAGAGAGAGACAGGCAAAGGGACAGCCTGCTGGAGAGGTGAGCTATGACTGCACGTTGAGCACGTGGGCAGAGCGCTGGTGGTGCCAGTCCCGGAGGCGGGTGTAGCGTGGGCTCTGTAGCTCCAGGACATACTTTTCCCTGAGGGGCAGAGAGAGAAGGAAAAGGAAGTAAAAGGAAGGAGAGATGCAAGGGAAGTAGGGAGGGAGGATGGTAGGAAGAGCCGAAGGAAGGAAGGAAGAACGGAAGGAAGCAAGGAATGACGGAAGGACGGAAGGAAGGAAGGAAGGAGCGTTCTGGCGGGGGTGGGCCAGAAGCAATCAAAGGAGAAGTGGCTGGGATGGAGCAGGCAGAAGCTGGGAGCCAGGTGAGTACTAGCCTTTTACCTTGATTTCTTCAGATGCTCCTCATCCGGGTCTTGCACTGGAGGGCAGAAACAGACATTGACCAAGAGAAAGGAGGGTCACCCCAGCCTCTGAGTCCCACAGAGGGTCAGGCCCAGGCCATGGCTGGCACTTACTGAACTCGGTGCCCGTGAGGTGGGCAAGGATCCGGAAGGAGCGAGACTGGCCTGTCCCAGGCCGCGGCCGCCAATCCTCGGTATCCTCCATCAGCCGCTGCTTGCTGGCATCGGGGACCAGCGGTCGGAACGGCTGTCTGTGGGAAGGTGGGGAGCTCAGAACCACACGCTACTATGGGCAGTGGGGGCAGCCCCTCCCAGGTTTGTACCCATGGGTTAGGGTGACAGGTGAGGGGGTAAGGCGAGACCAAGGGCCCTGCTGGGGTGGGGTGGGAAGGTAAGTGAGAGAGGGCAGCCAGGGTAAGGAGGGGCCACCGCCCAGAGTGCCGAAAGGAAGGAGAAAAGGAACAGGCAGGGGGGCTCACTGACTTGTCAGGGGTCTGCACCTGTGAAGGAAACAGACAGATGGACAGATAAAGGGACAGATACAGGGAGAGGAAGAAAGATGGGGAAGGGTCAGAGTAGGGGGGCACGAGGCAGAATATCTGAGGCTCAGGTGGCTCAAAGCCACACCTCAACCCCAGGCCGCTGGCGGGGGCAGGAGGGGGGTCCGGCCCATCCAGAGCCATCCCCAGCCCCCAGGACAGTGCCTTCTCAGGAACAAAACCCTTGGGAGGGGCCCTGTGCCTGCAGCCCCCGCCCCGGCCGCCAGGGGTCGCTGCCGCACGGTTCCCGCCGGGCTGGGGCTTAGCACAGACGGAGCAGCAGTGCGCAGCGGGCTTGGGGCCAAGAAAGGACTGGACGGCGTGGGCGGGCAGGGGCTGACGTACCCATTCTGCTGCGGGGCGCTGTCAGCAGGCAGGGGCGCCCCAAAGGGCCGGGCCGTCTTGTTGAGGGAGGCGCTGGGTGCAAAGGTGTACCGCGGGGGTTCCGCGGCGGGGGCCAGGGCCTGGGCAGAGACAGAGCCGGGCAGGGACAGGGCGGGCAGGGGGTGGGGACTTGAGTGGGAGTGGGGTGCCCCACCCTGGAAAGGCCAGCGGCAGCTCCAGCTCCGCCCCCACACATCTGGCCGAAGGCTATGGGGAAGGGGGCGACTCAAGTTTCAAGGGGCCTGTTTGGGAGTGATGATCTCAGCCTCCAGGACCAAGGGAGGACCAAGTGTAGGCGGGCGCGCAGCACAGGCCGGTAGGAAGGAGGCAGGCGGACAGACAGGCAGACATGCGTGTGCCCAGACCGTGCGGCAGCCCCCGGGTCCACTCCCAATTCTCCAGACCCTGCCATTCTAGCATCTAGCTTCAACTCGCGGCCAGGATGGCCAGGATGGAAGCACTGAGGCCGTACCACGGATGGCTGGTCAGCTCAAGAGTCAAGCCCCTCCCACCCGCAGCCCAGATGTCCACCCGCAGCCTACCTTCTGTGGTTTGCTCTGAACTGGCTGGGGCCTGGAGGAGAAAGAGAAGCGGTAATGGCAGGGTAATGGCAGGTCAGGCCAGATGACATCCCCACCCCCTGCCGGCCAGGGCCCACACCTGCTGAGACCCAGGCTAAGGCGCTCCCCGCAGGCACGGATCTTGTTCTGGGCTTCAATGTGCGTGAGGCTCCCTGCATTCTCGCCGTCAATGCTCAGCACCCAGTCACCCACTGCCACGCCAGCCTGCGCAGCTTTGCCTCCAGGTGTGAGCTGCAGGGAGGAAGGATCACAATTCAGCAGCTCAAACAAGCTAATGTTAATCAACCCTGCTTACCCTATGCTGCCTCTTTTTTAGAACCCAGTCATTTTGCTGGGTAGCTGTTGGATACTGAAGTGACCTGAGAGGTGGTAGTGCTCGCTGAAGCCACAGTTTCTCCCATCACACTCTGTATTTTTTCACCTTGCCCCTCCCTCATAGCCCAGATACTGCTATGACCTCAACAGCCACCCTCAGGCTAAAACCCAAACTTCTAGCCAATGACCATAGCCTTTGCAGGCCCTGCTGGCCTCCTGCCCAGACTAGTCCACCTACCAAATATACCCTCTAGTTTGTGTATGTGGCAGCTTCTTCCCTGGCACTGCTAGGTGCACTCACTGACCTCTTTCCCTGAAGCACCCACCCAGTGCTGGGCCTCTGCGGGAATCTGCCTGGACCCCAGTAAGGGGCAGGAATAAGGACTTGCCATTGCCAGGTTCCCTGTGAGCGGTGCCTGAACAGACCAAGGAGTCAGCTGCAGTGCTGCAGGCTGCACCCAACTCCCTTCAGTCCTTTGGGCTCTAAGTTGGGAATCTCTGGTTTGTGGAGCAAATGAAGGGACACAGCAGGCGGGGTGGAATGGTGGCCATTTGCATTAGCTGATGATTTCTGGGAAGCAGCCTCAGTCAAAGGAGAATGAAGGCCAAGCAGTAAAAAAGGCCATTTATCTAAGTCTCCAATACCTCAGGAAGGAAACAAACTTTGGCCTTAACTGTCACAGGTGCCACTAGCAGTTTTCAGGTCCAGGATGGGATATTTCCAGGAGCCTGACAAAATTGACCCTGAAAAGCCTATTGGGTCTATGTAGCTCAGCCCCAGAAACATAGGCAGGGAACTGTCTGTGGGTCTTTGTCAGTGGGGCCACCCAGCCACCTGGTAAGGGGCCTGGCATGGCACCAAGCAAGCCTATCTTATACTTCATAAGTGGTGGTGGAAATGGGGCAGAACAGACTGCTTAAGGCCCCCAGAGCCTCCTCAGGTGGGTTGGTACAGTTTGCTAAAGCAGGAAGGAGGGAACTCAGGGGTTCTAGAAAGAGGCTGGAGGCAGAGGGACTAGCACTGAGGCAAAAGTGAGAGCTGGGTTTGACAGCTCTATGTCATTCTTGCAAGGGATGTTAAATAAGTAGAGAGCCGCTGGCTCCTTTTTCACCTGCTAAATAGTAAATACAGTAGTAAACATAGTGGCTTACATGTACTAAACACCTATAATTGCCATATACTGACACTGAATCCTGCTCATAACCCTGTGGAGGAGTCTGTGCTTATACCCATTTCACAGATAGGAAAACAGAGATTTAGCACCTTCAAGTCACCCCCCAAAAGGGCATGGCTTGGATTTGACCCTGATCCTAAGCTTCCATCTCTCCAGGCTGAGGACCCAACAGTGGCACTAATATACCTAGAAAGTCCCAATGAGTTTCTGACTGGGTTTAGGACCTGGATATCCAACTTTCCTTCATTTCAGTGTAACCCCTTAAAATGGGCACAGGGAAGTGACATCCTGGAAAGGAAGTGACTTATTGAAGGTCCTGGTGAGTCAGTATTAGGTAAATCTGGTTCAGCCACTCCCTGATTCTTGGGAGGCGCAGGCTATGCCCAAGGTGGGGGTCTTGGAGCAGGGAGGAGTAGCTGGCTCCTGGAATACGGGTATGTGTGTCAGGGTGAGGGATTCCTTTCTTCCCTGGAGGAAGGAGGGCAGGAAGCACATGAAGGGTAGCACATAGTCAAAGAGATACAGAAGCACAGGAGAGCTCCTGGGGAGGTGGCTAGGAGGGGAAGGAAACAGCTTGGGCTGGGGGCCCAAGGATTAAGGAGGGGAAAAGTCAGGGGGCTGGACACAGTAGGGATAGGGGTGAGTCAGCCTGAGAGATTCACTGAGCTACCCAACCCCCCAGTCCCAGACATTACCTCATCTCCCAGGCCGGGCCTACAGCCAGCCCTAGCCCCTCCCTTCTCCCTGCACTCTAGGGTCAGGGGAGGGGTAGGGGGCTGGCCCAGCTCAGGAAAGACCACCCTACCCATCCGGGGTAGGATCCAACTCTACTGCTGGGCTCAACTGGTGGCTCCACCCATAGAACAGGGCCATAGAACAGGAGCACAGGCCCAGAGTGCCCCCAACAGGCAACATTTGAAAGGTCATTTCATCAATGAAGAAACTAAGGCTGCAGCCTGAGTGGTGGCCCACGCCTGTAACCCCAGTACTGGAGAGGCTGAGGCAGGAGGATTGCTGAGTTTGAGGCCAGTCTGGGCTACAAAGTGAATTCAAGGCCAGTCTGAATAGCATAGCGAAACCCTGTCTCAGAAAGACAAAAAACAACAAAAACCAAAAACAGGGAATACAGGATAGGCCTATACAATCTTATGTGAGGTGTGTGTGAATACGAGAACCTACTACTCTCGGTTACCTTGTTCTGGGACAGGTAGCAAGAGAATCCTACGGAAGGATCCCTGAGGATGCGGCCTAACTGCCTGTCCTGCCCACCAAGCCCAACTCCCACAGACCTACTCTGTCCTGGGGCCCTCTCAGGTGGAGCAGTGCCTGGAAAACCCTCTGGCCTCCTCCAGGATGGGCTTGCAAATAGGGCCTGTCCACTAGGTGGCTGGCGGGCTGCTGGAGCACAGGGGTGTGGGGGCAGGAAGTCCTGGCCTCCTCCAGACTGCTAGGCCACAGTCAGTGACACCAAACCCAGGGGTTGACCTTATCCCCTCTGGTTAGGCAATTTACTGAGTCCCACAACTGGACTCTGCACAGCTGGCACTGAAGCCTGATGTCAAGTGAAGGGTGAAGGACCTGCTGATGGGTTCAGGGGTCCAGGCCTTGGCCAAGCCTTTCAGACTCTGCAGTCTAGTCACTGTTGGGCATCTCAACTAGAGCTGCATTCTTGGGCTTATAAGGCAATCCCCCTGCCACAGGGAGGAGCCAGGCCCCAGCCCCACCCCCACCAGGACAGACACCCAGGAATTGGAGTTAGAGGCATAGGGCCCGGACTTACTACAGTCACATCAAAAGCTGTCACATCCTGAATGAGAACAGGGATGGGGAGGTCACTGTTGAGGACCTACATGAGGTCCTCACATAAGTAGGGAAAAGAACATGTAGTTTAGCCCTCCAAAAGTATAGGCCATGCTATAACTTACTTCAAACCCCTGCTTTGCCAGGGACTTGCTGAATGAACCACT